CAAATAATAAATAATAATGAAAATAAATAATTAACCATCGTTTTTCTAACATTTATTAATATGAGATTTCAATGTTAATTCAGCGTTCATAACTCTCTCAATCAGAACTCCATCAATGGACAGTTACTTCATCCTCCTTTACATGATTTTTCAAAAATCATAAATTTCGTTTTTTGTCAAGTTGAAAGATAATTTGTTTACATCTTCAAAGATAATTTGTTTACATCCGTCATATGCATCATGCAAGGAAATCTAAACCAGATACAGGGGATTCTGCATACTTGTCATCCTTCACTTGACTTTTGACTTTTTGATATATAGATGACTTCTATGTTCAAAAAGTGGCATGCAGGAGAGGAAAACTAAGTCATTTCCAAGGGCTTCAAACGCACTACGTTATTTATTCAGTCTTCTGTACTTTCTTGTCATTAAGTTGGAAGCTTATTAAGATTATGGTTTTCTGACCAATGTTATTTTCTAAAAGCAGGCGTGTTTACTAGAAACTACTAGCATTAAAAATAATATTGGTTCCTTATCGTGGTTATTTACTAGCAGAATGAGATTCTGGATTCTGATCAACTTCTTTATCTATTTCCATGGCTGTTTATAATTGTTTTACAACAACTTACACTTGATGAGTTCTGAGAGATTTCAGTCTGCAGGAGGTTCGTTTGAAATCTTACCTGATTAATCTTTATGTTTTCCCTAGATCACAAAACCAACAAAATAGCATTAAAAGCAACAAGATTACCAAAAACTGATGCACTTGTTAGCAATCCAGTACATCCTCTACTTATTCCATCCTCCTTCCTTCCACCTTCATCTTTGTTGTCTCCTCCTGTCTGACCTGCAGGTGAGAAACAGGTGTGAGGTGTCAGCTGTCAGGTAGGTGATGAGTGAAGAACAGAACAGAATCCATTTCCTCTTCAAACTGCTGTCAGACATTATCTACTGCACTCTGATCACATCACTCAGACCAGCTGCTTTCTACAAAGTCTCATCAACAACATCTTTAGAAACAAACATCAACAACCAGGAAGCAGCTTCACCTCTGATCACACACACACTCAACTCTACTCACCTGGAGGACCAACAATCAAACTCTTCTCTGTAGTACTTTGTTTTCAACCAAACACGGGTTTTTGTGTTTAAGCAAATGTGAGTTTTCATTCTTTCCAACAGCTGTTTTCCTCAGTAAACATTCAAACAAGTCAAAACTGGGAAATGTGAGGTAAAGAATGATGACTCCATTTCACATAGAGGCAGTGAGCCTCATCTTGTTCACTTCTAACATATGGATGTTCGATCGTTTTGCATCACATCAGTTTAATGTTGTAATCTTATTTTTAACCCAACCCGTCATCTTTTAACAAACCTAACCAAGAACTTTTGGTGCGCCAATCAAATCAAATGGGGAGGGAACAGACTGGTGACTTTTCCAGGATGTACCTGCATTTTGCCCAATAGTAGCTGGGATAGATTCCAGCCTCCTCATGACGCTGAACTGGATAAGCGGAAGAAGATGGATAAATTGATAATCATTGAGTCACAAGCAGCATGTAACGTGGTCAACATGACCAAACCAAATATCTGGTGTCAGACAGACTGGGCCGAGTGTTTCAGAAACTGCTGATCTACTGGGATTTACCCACACAATCAGAGAATCATCTGAAAAAAGAGAAAATATCCAGCGAGCGGCAGTTCTGGGGTGAAAATGCCTTGTTGATAGCAGATGACAAAGGAGAATAGCCAGACTGCTTTGGACTGATAGAAAGGCAAAAGTAGCTCAAACAGCCATTCGTTATAACCGAAGTATGCAGAAGAGCATCCCTGAACGCTGAATGTTTAAACAGATGGGCTACAGGTGTCGCTCCCGTAACAAGAAACTGGGGCTCACTAAAATGTGTTAATAAAAAGTTGCCTTGTATCAACAGTTCAGTTCAGCTGGTGGTGACGTTGTGGAGGGTATTTCCTTGGCACATTTTGGTCCCTCTTGTGCCAACTGAGCATCATTTAAAGCCAAAGTCCATCCTCTGAAGACTGCTTCCAGCAGGACAACATACTTCACTGTATTCCACAGGCCCCAGATCTCAATCTACCTTTAGGATTTGTTGGAATGGAAGATTCACAACTGTTTGTTGCTATATGTCAATATGGACCAATATGGATCTCTCAGGAAGGTTTCCAGCTCCTTGTTGAATCTATGCCTTGGAGGATTAAGGCAGTTCTGAAGGTAAAACCAAAAGTGGTTTTGATGTGAGTCAAACTATCACAGTCGTATGTTCCATTATCATTAATCGTCACATTGTTCAGAATCAAAGACACGTCTCCATCCTTCATCTGTCCTGCAGATCCACCCAGTTCTTAAAAGATGGATGCTTTTTGGCTGGAACACATTGAATGTCCCAGTACAAAAGAACATAATCTGACTCCAGATCAGCTCTGCTCCTCTCCACAGCTATGATGATCTCATTTGGAGCTCAATATGTCAGAGTGATGTTGTGCCCAGACGCAGCTGTTTGTATTATTATCATTATTGCAGCCCATTGCAAACATAGTACAATATATTCAGGGAAAAAAAATAAAAATAAAAAATAAACAGCAGGACCAGTAAAAATTGACTGGTGCTCAGAAAGCAGGACACTTAAATCTGTACTCAAGTAAAGGACTGTGTGACATCAAGCCACATCATGATCAGTAATATTCAAGGCTTTCTCTTTCTTTTTTGTTTACCTGTGTCTATGTGACTTTGGTGAGCAGTTTTTATAACCAAAAAAACATATCAATATCACAGGGTTCAGGGTAATGCGTTAGCAGAATTAAAAGCACATAGAGTTTAAACTATGCTGCTTGTAACATTCTCTTCAATAAATATGTGACCTGATCTGAGTCTCATTCTTTTTCACTCTTATGCTGCTCAAGCTTTGTAATGGCTGGATTACTGTTTGCTGTGGATGTGGACACGGTCTGCTGGAAACCTGTCAAGTGAGCAGTCATTCCTGTTATACTTCTTTGAAATCTGCCACCTAAGGCGGATGCAAAGTTTTAGTCAGGCTTTCTTTGTGTCATCTGGCTTGATTCAACCCAAAACTGTCATGGTCTGGGTGAGTCACAGTATTTTCCACAGCCCCTGCTCCCCTCTTCCCGGCAGAGTCTTTATTTATCACCCCTCCCAGGATCACCACGTGAGATCAGATCAGCGTTCATAAGCCGGCCTTGCCAGATTGTCTGCTAACCTATGTTAGTGCATGGCTCCCTGTTCACTCATGTTTTTCACAGTACATGTATTTACCTCTGCTCTCTTGTGTCTTCAGTGGTTCCTTGGAAAACTCTGTCATCGTCACAGTAATATCACTCATCTGGATGCTGGCCTCTCCTCACGTTTCTGAGACTACCCAAGGGAAAGCCACTTGGCTACGCCTAGAAATTAGTGGTGGACAGATTGATCCAAATATCGATTGTATCGATACCAATATCGACATCAATATCGGATCAATACTAGCCTGGGCAAAGGACTTGCCGCTCCCGTGTCAGCGCAAAGCAGGCACACTTTGCTCCCCCTCCCCCGTCTAATGCTTAGATGTTGCACTGTCACATGACGCGACTTAGATGCTTTGGGGGGTTTTAAGTTGTTTATACATTATTTATATTTTCATCAGTTGTTCATGTTGTTGAGAATTTTAATTGTAATTTGTGTATTATAGTTTCTCAACAGTACTTGCTTTAATTTGTTCACTGGTTTGCGCTCACTGTAGGTTCAGTGAATGAAATTTAATTTGAATTCAATTGCACTGATTAGAATATACTGGACATTCAAAAGGTAAGATTCAGCGCACTGTGTTAGAGGCTGGGATTTGATGAATTCATCATATGTACAACCTTTGATCATCATTTATGTCCAGTTGAGAATGAATCTGTGCACTCACATATTAAATGAACTGAAACCAGTAGTGTGATCTCCAGTCTTGGTATAAGGAATGAGAGAACTCACAGCTGTTATTTTAATCAGCCTGTCTCAGTTGTTTTAACTCTTAAGTATCACAAAGTAATGTGGTAACATCTGGACTGACAAGTTTACTGTCAGCATTTTAGTCGCTAGTTTAAAGGCTGTAGGCTGCAGCCGTTGCTCTAACACTTGTAACAGGCCTCAGTGCTGGTTCTAATAGTCTGAGCTGCTTCCAGCTTTATTTGTGAAGAGCACAGCAGCTTACAAAACACGTAGCTAGCTCGTACAGCTGCGACGTAAAACTTTCACAAGCTAAAATGACCTTAAAATAATGGGGCTACCTGTGGTGATGCTAGCGTTAGCATATGTTAGCATGTTACCTTCAAATGTTGGTCAGACTGCGTAAACTCCGTTTCACTGCAGGGTCCCTTCATTCTTCACATATCCGTGTTGAGATGAGTGTAAATCTTGAGGCTGAACAGTTTATTAAATTGGAATTTGAAAATGAATTTATGAATGCAGAATTTATTCTAAAATTTATTATTTAAGCACAGAATTCTTTATTTCAATGCATTTGACTCTCTCTTGTGGTCCTCCATAGTTCTTATAGAATAATAATAGAATAAACCAGTTATAACTTTAAATAAATCAGTTTAAATAAATAAACACTTGACACGGATAGAGCATCACTGTTTATTATTAGTAAGCAAAAATGACAAAGAAGCTTGCACAGGAAAGTTATGTAACCATTGAGATAAGAAAACACCCAAAAAGAGCAGAAGCTGCACATGATGAAAGACATGATAAATTTAACCTTCCCTTCTTTCATTTAAATAATTCTGTTCTGGCACTAAACAGCTAAACCTTCATGGGAAATAAACAATAAACCTGATGAGGAAATGACATGGAAAAGCCTTCACAAAGACCCATACTTTCCCTGCATTAAAAACATGTTTTAGGTCCTCTACAGAGGTTTCAGTCTTCCCCCAAAGGAAAATGATGATGATTGTAATCAAAACTTTTTAATATATGCTTATATTGCTTGATTTTTAACAGTTTAGAGACTAAATATGCCCACCCCCACACATTTCCAATCAAAACCAGAAAAAACCCAAAGATGTTAAAAAACAAACAAGGGCTGTGTGAGACATTTGCAGCTGACTACCTCCTGCTGGATTCACATCACTGTGAACTCAAGTCTGTCCTCAGAGCATCTGGCTTTTTGCCACGAAAGGTGGGATGAGTGGGATGAAGAGAAGGTTCTACCTTGGTGCTTGGCTGTATTTGTGTTGTGCTGTTTTTTTCTCCGTCTGTCTATTGTGTCATTTTTATGTAGTAGATTATACTTGCAAAAGAAACCAATAAAAGCACAATAACAGCTCTCAGTCCAACAGACTTACCTTTTGGAATAACTTTTAGGTGGATGATGCTGATGGGATCAGTCTTTAAAATGTATAACTTTCTACCGTCTCTCAGTTCCTGGATGATGCAACACTCGTATGTTCCACTATCAGCAGTCGTCACATCCTTCAGAATCAAAGACATGTCTCCATCCTTCATCTGTCTGTCCTGCAGATCCACCCGGTTCTTAAAAGATGGATGCTGATAATCTCGAACAAACTCTTTTTCCCAGTACCAAAAGACATATTGTGCCTTCAAGTCACGTCTGCTCCACTCTACACCTGGTATGAGGACAGCGTTTGGAGCTCGACATGTCAGAGTGACGTTCTGTCCAGACTCAGCTCTGATGATTTTTTGGCCTGAAAGAGAAAAAAAAAAAACAACAAAGAGCAGAGAGGTTAAAGAACTAACTGATAACTACAACAGCCAATCACAGACAAAAAAAATACAAATCAAGAAAAAGACCCAACGCTATATATGTATATGTCTCATGTTTCAACTAGTTCTTCAACGTGCAGCCCTTTACCTACTTTGTCTTACTATAAACATTTAGGAATAACAGAAGTGAATCACCTCTTTTCTGCAGGCTGTAGCCAGTTTTAAAGTATAAAGTACGACTACAAAGATCCAAGCTTCAGACTTTTATTCTTCTCAGAAACATCAGACATCAAAAACCAAGAAGCAGCTATATGTATTCCATATTTGCTTGGTGGGCTGATGATTTTTAATTTTTTTTTGGAATGGTATAAAAATTGAAAGATGGTGGATTGGCCAGATGTTGGCAGGTGCAAAAATAACTCAGTTGTTTGGTGGTGGCTATGGCAGAGCTTCCCAGAGGTGGATGAGGGAAGGAGAGGCAGGAGGAAGAGAGACGCGAGGCGGCCGCCGGTCTGAGTGTCAGGTGACCTGAACTTCAGGTAAGAAGTTATGACCTGCAGTCTATCTGGGTCAGATATAAACCAAGTTTAGGTGGAGTTGATTTTCATTATGCTGACTTTTTCGTACTGGGTACTAGCTAGCATGAGTTTCTATACAGCTGGGTGGTGTTCATGGAGCTGCATTTTCACCTGCTGGACATCACAACCTGACAAGTTTAACTGTATTCAGAACATTACAGAGGCCTTGTTGACAGTATTTGGCTCTACATGTCTGTGTGAGCAGATTTTCTCTGACACAAAAAGTGTCCTGAGGTAGCCGTCTGAACGCTGGACACTCGGAGACCTGTGTCTCTGTGTGGGAGACCAGAGATCACATTATCATGTGTATCTCTGTATTAACAAACATGCCATATTGGCCCAGTTTATTTTTCTTATCATTGTTGTCAGGAGACCATAAAAAGCAGTTGCATTCTCTGTTGTACAGTTCATTTGCTGTTATGGATAAAAAAAGTCTTGTGTTTTGTTTCAAAATAGCTGATAACTATTCGCTGATAGCTGCCAACATTTGCGAACAAATATAATCCTATAGAGTGGTTCTATATAGTGTGTAATATATATAATTTTTATATAATTATATTATATATAATTCTTTATATATAATTCATATAAAGCGTTATTAAATTTATTGCTAATGCAATCATATGGCACATTGACTTCTGAGGAAATTTTAGATGGCACTCATAATCAGAAAGGTTGCCTACCCCTGCTCTATACTAACAATAGTACTAACTGAACTCTACCAACTCACTTTGAGGAACAACACTCAGGTAGCTGGTGCTGATGGGGTAACTTTCCAGACTGGCTCTCTTCCTGCGGTTCACTCCTCTCTGGGCCACATAACACTCGTATGTTCCAGTGTCATTAATTGTCACATTCTTCAGAATCAAAGACATGTCTTTATCCTTCATCTTTCTGTCCTTCAGATGCACCCGGTTCTTAAAAGATGGATGCTGGTAATATGGAAAAAGCTTGTAGTCCTGATAATAAAGGACATATTTTGGCTCCAAGTCAACTCTGCTCCACTCTGCAGCTATTATGGGGTTGTTGCTGCTTAGAGCTTGACATGGCAGAGTGACCGTCTGTCCCATCACAGCTATGATGAATTTTTTGTCTGAAAGAGAAAAACACAGAATGGTTAAAGAAGAGAAGTGATCACTAGAGCAGCCAATCATATATATTTATATATATGTGTATGTGAGTGTGTATAACCTGAACCAACTCACTTGACGGAACAACACTCAGATAGATGGTGCTGATGTGGCGACTTTTCGGACTGGCTATCTCCCAACCCAACGATTCCCTCTGGACCACATGACACTCGTATGCTCCCGCGTCATCAGTAGTCACATCCTTCAGAATCAAAGACACGTCTCCATTCTTCATCTGTCTGTCTTGCAGATCCACCCTGTTCTTAAAAGACGGATGCTGATTTTCTGGATGAAATCGCTGATTCTGGTAAGAAAGGACATATTCTTCTCCCAGGTCAGTTCTTTTCCACACTACAACCATGATAAACTTTAAATAGAGGAGTGGAACTCGACATGGTAGAATGATGTTCTGCCCAGAATCAACTGTGATGTTTTTCTGGTCTGAAGGAGGAAAACAACACACAGAGTAGAGAAATCAAAGAACTAACTACAGCAGCAGACACCGTTGGGTGTCTATGAGCGAGGGAATGAGAAAAAGTAGAGTGGAAAAGTACGAGATATACACACACACACACACACACACACACACACACACACACACACACACACACACACACACACACACACACACACACACACCTCGTACTTTTCCACTCTACTGTTTCTCATTCCCTCGCTCATAGACACCCAACGGGTATGGCAAACTATTCTCACTGCAGTACAGACTACACTGCCCATGAGGCTACATTCGTTAGGGCTATGCCTGCAACAATCAGCCTGTTTCCGTCACATTAAATCATTTTTGGAATAAACATTTTTTAAAACATTTCTTCATGTCATTATGTGGGCTGCAAGTAGAGGTGACATGGGGCGTGAGATTGAGACACCGGCATTAAAGCCTTGTAATGCATGTTTTGTTTGGGCTTCCACTGGCGTGGAATTACCAGAAACAGAGGGCACAGCCTAACATATGAAACAGGAAAAGACCGCAGTGTAATCCATTTATTTCAACAAAGTAACTGTATTCTCAATATCACCTTTTTAAACGGTAACTGTAATGGAATACAGTTACTCATATTTTGTATTTAAATTCGTAACACCGGTACATGTATTGCGTTACTCCCCAATACTGGTGGTACCAGAGAGCCAAAGAAGAAAGGACGGGGAGCCATGAACCATCATGGAAGAACAGGCCCCTGCACGGCATGTAGTACTGACAGATAGAGGAAGTGGCTGGCATCCTGAAATTCTACCAGCAGCTCAACAAAGCTGGACCAGAAGAAAGCACTGAGTCACCAATCATGGCATGGCATGCTATTTTTTCATGGTCAGTGTAAATGTCGGGGACAGAAGATTATATAGGTCCCTCATCCTATTCATGTGAACCCCTCCTTCATGTAAAACTCAAACTTACTTGGAGGAACAACAGTTAGGTAGGTGATGCTGATGGGGTGAATATACAGACTGGCTCGTTTCGTTTTTCTCTGGTCAACGTAACACACATAGAGTCCTGAGTCATCAGCTGTCACATCCTTCAAAATCAAAGACACGTCTCCACCCTTCATCTGTCTGTCCTTCAGATCCACCCTGTTCTTAAAAAATGGATGCTGATAATCTGTATCAATCTCATCATCCTGGTAAAAAAGGACATATTCTGGCTCCAGGTCAGGTCTTATCCAAAATGCAGCTATGATGGGGTCATTGCTGTTTGGAGCTTGACATTCTAGAGTGGCCGTGTCTCCCCCAATAATTATGTTGTTATTGTGGTCTGAAAGAAGAAACAAAATAGAGCACAGAGGTTAAAGAACTAACTGATCACTACAGCAGCAGCCAATCACAGAAAAGAAGAAAACAAAGTAATATCTATACATATATGTAGATAGACAGATCTAATAGACCTACATTGTATAGGTTGCTATGGCCATCTGAGTACAACAGATGTCTACAAATGCACCTGTCTTTTACAGGCTGTAGCCAGTTTTAAAGTATAAGGTACAAGTACAAGGATCCAAGCTTTGTTCACCTCAGAAACATCAGACATCAAGAACCAGGAAGCAGCTTCATCTCTACTAACAAACTGAACTCTACCAACTCACTTTGAAGAGAAACAGTCAGGTAGGTGGCTCTGATGTAGTAACCATCCAGACTCGTTGTTTTGCTGTGGTTCGCTCTTTTATGGACCACGTAACACTCGTATGCTCCCGCGTCATCAGTAGTAAGATCCATCAGAATCAAAGACACGTCTCCACCCTTCATCTGTCTGTCCTGCAGATCCACCCTGTTCTTAAATGACGGATGCTGGTAATCTGGAACAAGCTTATTGTCCCGGTAAAAAAGGACATATTCTGGCTCCAGGTCACGTCTGCTCCACTCCACAGCTACAATGGGGTTGTTGTTGCTTGGAACTTGACATGGCAGAACGATGGTCATTCCAGTCCGACCTAATATAACTTCTTCTACTGAAAGAGGAAACAACAGAGGGGTTCAAGAGATCAACGAACAACCTGAGCTACTGGGAGATCAGGGAGCTTTTTACTGTACATTGCTTCAGACAAACACAAGGGGCACATTCAGTCAATGACTGACTGTCTAGTGAAGGAATATTGTGTGAACTCACTTAATGAAGGGCTACTGTAGTTACAGCACCACTGTTTCATAATTACTTATTATTTAGTCTATAAATACACTGTTATGCTTTGTCTTCTGTATATTTTATATATTTTATTTTATTGTTTACTCTATTTAATTTGTAAAATATGTATACACACACACACACACACACACACACACACACA